GAACCCGTGTCCCCTGCATCGGCAGGCGGACTCTCAACCACTGCGCCACCGGGGAAGCCCTCTCAGGAGCTTTTTAAAACTACTGATGCCTTTGGTCAAAGTCAGGTGTGGGAATTCGTATTTTCCAAAGCTCCTGAGGTGCTTGTACGGTGCAGGTGGAGGTGGGGGATGCAGGGACCCCGTCACCTTTGACCTTATCGTAGAGGCCCCAGGCTTTTCTGGAGTCCTTAAACTTTCCTTCTGCCCTCCGTGCCGTCACCCCACGTTGTCCCTTCTGGTGCTGGCATCTGCGTCGTGGTCCCTGCGGCGATGGCCCTGTTTCGCTTGCTTGTTCAAGAGGTGACGTGAGCCGTTGGCAGGCTACCCTGCTGGGTCTTTCTGAGTGAGGAGTCCCGCTCTCCCTCTGCTTCCCGAGGACAGGCAGGTCCTGAGGCCCCAGCAGCGCGTGGCACTGCCGAAGCTCTTCCATTAGTCAGCAGTTCTCTTAGAAAATGACCTTTGGTCCAAGTTTTTCAGTGAGTGTAGTTCTTTTCATCCCTTGTCTAAACTGGCTTATTTATTGTTGCTTTTCTCCAAGCTCTGCTCTTCTTTTTCTACTTTTCAACCTACTGATTTCTGCCTGTATTTTTGTCACCTCTTCTGCCTTTCTTAGGCTTGTTTTATTCCTTTTTTAGCTTCATTGACTTAGGCCTTAGCTCATGACTCTTAATTCTCAAGGATTTCAGCACAGCTCAGTGGGGGGCATGGACTTTGGGTTCACGCTTACCTTTTCGGATCCACCGTCACGGTTGTTTTGATACCTCTTTTGAGCCCTCAGTTGGTTGGGAGAAAATTCAAACATTCCCCAGTAGTTGGAGGACTGTTGTTTTGTTTCTGCTTCCACCTTTTTTTTTTTTCGGTACGAGGGTCTCTCACTGTTGCGGAGCACAGGCTCCGGATGCGCAGGCCCAGCGGCCATGGCTCACGGGCCCAGCCGCTCCGCGGCACGTGGGATCTTCCCGGACTGGGACACGAACCCGCGTCCCCTGCATCGGCAGGCGGACTCTCAACCACTGTGCCACCAGGGAAGCCCTCTGCTTCCATCTTTTCCTGCTTTACTATGTTGTGGTTGGAAGATGAGGGTGTCTGTCTTTACTAGTATTTGGAAGTTGAACTTTTCTTTGAGGACCAAGTACGTTGGTTTTGGCCAGTGTTTCATTGGCACTGGATTAAAGCGCAGGCTATTTGCAGGACATGGAGTTCAGTGAGTGCCTGCTGGTGGTCTTATCAAGTATATTTAGCCAGATTTTCTGGGCCGAGAGGCATTTAAGACTGCACAGTGGTGATTGCTCTCTCATGAAAGTGTGCACTCCTTGGCACGTGGCCACACCCCAGCTTGGTAGACCCCTAGCTCTTCTGGATTCACTAAAAAACACAGGTAGATTCCTGAGTTCTTAAATATCTTTGGGATGGAAATAGACTATTTGCCAAGTCCTTTGGTAAGTTGGACATGAGTCATTTTTCCCCTGACAGGGCGGGTGTAGGTGTGTGTATACGTTGTTCTGTACACAGATATTTACTGTATTTTATTAAATCAAGGCCTCCAGGGTTTTCGGGCCGAAGTCCTCCTCGTCCATCGACTACAGAAATGGAACAGGAAACAGTCAGCGGGAGTGCGGAGCTGCGTGCAGAGGCGGCCTCCTACCGCTGCTCCGCGTGCCATGGCGATGAGGACTGGGGCCTGGGCCACCCCATCCGGGGCCGCGCCAAGTCCCGCAGCCTGTCGGCCGCGCCCGCCCTGGCCAGCACCCGCGATTTCAGGTACCAGGCCTCCTCTGGGCCTGCGTGGGCGCTCAGACATGCGAGAGGTGGGCGCGCTTGCTGCCACAGCTCCCAGAGGGCACCCCCACCCACCGTGCCCGCATGCTGCGCAAGGTTGAGGTGCGTGGGTGGGGCCCGTGTGCCGTCAGCGGCACCGGGGCCGCCTGCTGTGGCACGGGCTCTGGCACAGGTGTCAGGGTGCTGGGCGGGCTGCGGCAGTGCCGGCCTCAGAGCCGTGAACGCCACCCGGGGTCTTGGGAGGAGCTGCCCGAGCCGGCACTGCCGCAGATGCAGGGGGCCCGGTGGACGGCACCCTCGCCTGCTGGGCAGCGGGCGGCCAGCTCCCAGCAGAAGCTTCCGTGCAGAGTCGTGTTGTCCTCCCGTGTTGGTGTCCCTGGCACTGCAGGGGGTGCATCTCCGGGCGGGCGGCCTTGGCTGCTGGCTCTGTGGGGTGTCGCGCCCGAAAGGGCGTTGAACCTGGTGTGGTGGCAGCAGGTCAGAGGTGGCCTCTGTGGCCACAGTGCCCTGTGAGTCACTTTTCAGTTATAGGAAATGTTGGGTCACTCAAGTACTACCTGTTTTTATTGACAGCACAACTCAGAGTGAGTATTTTTGTTAGAATCTTAATCTGGATAACTTGGGGATCGTTTCTGAAGTCTTGATTCCCAAGTATAGGCCCAAAAGCTTGTCTTCCAACAGACTTGCCCAGTCAAGAATTCAGATTCCCAGGCCCTTCCCTGGGTTGAATCCCCTTGTTCTGGGGTGGGGCCTGGGCACCTGCACTGGTTTGGGGTGCTTGTTCTAAGGAGTATTTCTAAGTGTGCCCCCTCTAACGGCTACACGGACAGCGTGTAGCCCTCCAGCCAGAGCTGGGCAGATGACAGAGTTTACGTCATTTGGATTAAAAATATTTTGGAGAGTTTAACACAGTCTGTGCGTTGTCTACACCTGTGTGTCTTTCAGCCGACTGACGGCCCCTGCCCTGTGCCTCTCCCCACAGGAGGACCCGCTCGCTACACGGGCCGTGCCCAGTGACCACTTTTGGACCAAAGGCCTGCGTGCTGCAGAACCCCCAGACCATCATGTGAGTCTTCAGGGAAGCTCCACAGGGCTGCTGTCCAGGGGCCACTGGACTGTGGGAGGTTCTGGCTCGGGGGGCAGTGAGTGTGTAGGGCGCCTTCTGAGGCCCCAGGAGGCCACACGGCGCCGTCTCCGACTCGCTCGGGGCGAGAGTGTGGGTGCAGCCTGCTCCTTGGGCGCAGTGGGTCGGAGGGGCCTCGACTCGTATTTAGAGTTAATTTGCTTTTTACAGGAAAAATTCTAGGAGAGAAAAACAATGTATTTCATGCTAATGCATTTGGTGGGTCAAATATGTTTCTCTTAATTATTATTGAAATGCAGAGATGTCAGTTGGCATTTTTGAAAAGCTGAGTTTACTTGTTTGAGAGATACCCTGACTTGCGGGCACAATTTTTTTTTTCCTTTTCTTTTTTTTATGTAAGCTCTGTGTTTTAGCGACAGCCTGAGGGCAGTGCAGCTTGGGGGCCCCTGGCCGTGCGGTGCTGGCTGAGAAACCATTTAGAAGCCAAGCAGTTCGGGCTGTTTCACTGGACACTTGAACCCAGCTCCCGTCTCTACCCGTCCAGCACCTCCTCCAGGTGCTGGATGGTTCCAAAGAGGGGAAAGCTTTGCTCCTTTGCTCTGTGTCGTGTGTGTCTTAGGGGAGAAAACACTCAAATGGCTTCGTGGCCACAAGAGCTTTGTGTTGAAACAGCAGAATTCCAGGTCGGCACTGCCACTGTGCCTGGCGGTGGGCTCACCACCGAGTGGGCCATCTGTGCCCCCTCCTTCTGGGGAGCCATGGCGGGGTTCACCTTCTGGGGGGTCAGACCAAGGGCCCAGGTAGGCTTCTGTGACTCACCGTCCGGGGGGCCTTGCTCCCTGCTGCTGTCTGCCCGTTCTCAGCGCTGGCCCAGTGGGCAGACGGTACCGGGCCCCTGGGAGCTGCTGTGCTGTGTGGACCCTGGTGACCCAAGGGCGGCCTGGGCACTGGGGTAACTGGTGTCAGTGCCTCTACCATCCAGGTGCTGCCCTGGTTCTCTAGTCGCTGCTGCTGGACGCGGGCAGGTCCTGCCCACCTGCTGCGCCCACCCCCCAGTGCCCCACGTTTGCACTCCGCACAGCATCCACGCTGATAACCAGCCCCCCAGGCGCCCCACGCCCTGCTGTGTGCACTGCCCCAGACTGCCCTGCCTTGACATTTCACCGTTGCCGGGGGGCCCCTCCCTGCCCTCCCTGGTCTTGGCAGTGCCGCTCCCTCCTCGTCACTCATGGCTCAGCATAAGTGCCGCCCTGGGTGGCCTCTGGCCATCCAGCCTTAATTGGCTGTCACCTGCTCGCAGCCCAGCCCATGTCACAGGTGTGTGTGTGTTTTGGCCTCGTGAACCTTGGGTGGGGTCTCGGGTTGGCATCTGAGCTGCTCCCCGAGGTCAGGTGGGATTGTGGGGAGGGGTGCTCCGAGCAGGGCGGCAGGTGTTCCAGAAGCGTCTCCGAGGCCCTGCGCCCGGCACAGTCCTGCCCTGGGAGGACAGGACTCCACTTCTCCATCTTGTCCCTGGCCCTCCCCACATCGTGGCTGGTGGGGCAGGGATTATGTGCTGGCCTGACTTTCCCCTGGTGCTGAGAAGGGACACACTGTAGGAGGAGTTGACTGCAAGAGACGCACTTCCTACTTTATTCTCTCAGACCTCACCGTGAATGTGTATTTTCTGTTATGTTGAAACATGTGGAATTGCCAACATCTGACGCCTTTGGCTTTTGAGACAGGGCTCAGATGGGTCCCCCGCTGAGCTGTCAGGCATCCCTGCCCCCCGTCCAGCCCCCAGAGCCTCTGTGCCAGGGAGGGGCCAGCACCACTCTTTGCAGTGACCCAACAGGAAGTGACCAGTTGGTACCTGAGACGAGCCGATGGCGCTGCGGTGGCTCTGGCTGGGCGCGGCTGAGTCTCAGGTCTTGAAGGGCCGTGAGTCCGGCCTGCCTGGTCAGTGGGGGGGGGGGCTTCATCATCCACCTCGGCAGCCAGGCAGACTTCCGCTGACCCGCCTGCCCTCCCTCCAGGCCCACGGCCAGGTGGAGTGACAGGAGGCCCGCGAGTGCCCGCCCCTCCGCCTGCGGGCCGCTCCCACGGGCCAAGCCGGTTCCACAGCCCAGCGCTGTCGTCTGCGGCTGGATGGGGCCCATCCTGACCGCCCAGGGCGTCAGAGCTTGGTGCCCAGCCTCTAAAGAGCAGGCGTCTGAGGTCTGGCCTCTTTGCTGTTAAAGGCGATTGGACAAGAGGGTGGTGTGAACAGAAAGAAGATCAAATACAGTTTGTTTGGTTTGATTTTTCATTTTAGGAAGTTCTCTTGACTCGTTTCATACAACCTTTAACAAGTTACAGTATGTTTTGCTTTCAGTTTTGAGGGTACAGAAAGCAGGGTTGTGGTGCAATTGCACATTTGGGGAGTCTGGGGGGGTGCTGGTTTGCGTGGCACTCCCGCTGTCAGTCGAGCGTGACCGAGATGCTGGGCACCAAGCACTGCCCTCCGCTGAGCCGCGTGTGTGACCCAGGCTGGTGGAGACCCTGGCAGAGGAGGTCATGAGTGACCCCTGCCGTCGCAGAAACGCCTGGAAAGGGTGAGTGATGGTCAGTCAGTCACAGCCTGGGGCCAGGGACCCACTGCTCTTTTAATGGTTCACGTCACGGTTTGGAGAGTTGCTGTTGGGGTCGTCAGGTTTTCAGGGAGGCCGCGGCCACGAGGCGTGACCTGGAGCAGGTGTCTTGATTGGGGAACTTGTGTCAGAAGGGAAGTCACTGCCTGCAGCCTTCAGGACTGTTTCCCAACAGGCGGAGGGGTGTGCTGCCAGGTCGGGCGGGCGCCTACGGGGTGCCCACAGCGGTCGGAGTCCTGGCAGGGCTCGGCCTCGGGACTCCCGCCCCTCAGGGAGGATCTGCTGCCCGCGGACCGTGCCAGCCCGCCAGTGCTAGGGGCCAAGGCCGAGCGCCACAGAACTTGCAGAGCTGTTGTTGGCAGGCAGGCCCAGCTGACTTTTTTTGGTTTTTGCTTTTATTATTTGAGCAGGTTTGGGTTTAGATTCGCAGCAGAAGTGAGGAGAAGGTACAGAGATTTCTCATGCCCCCCCGCCCCCCGCCAGCCAGCCCCTCATCGACATCCTCGCAGAGGGTGCACTTGTTACACACGACGAACCTGCACTGACAGGTCACGTCACCCAGAGTCCCTAGTTGACACCAGGGTCCCTCCGTGCGGTGCGTCCTGTGCTTTGGACAGACGTGTGATGACACGTGCCCGCCGTTGAAATCTCCAGAGCAGTCTCACGGTCCCAAATCCTGCCATTGACTTTAAAACCGGGTGGCTTTTAACTGTGAAAGTTACGGTCACCTGAGTTGCTCACACAGTGGTGTGGACATGGGGCTGTGCCCCCCTTACGAGTCAACAGGAGACCTGGGTCCCCCGGGACAGAGTCCCCATCTGTCTGGGTCCGGGTGCGTGTGGGGTTTCCTCCGCAGCAGGTCCCCGAGTGAGCCTTGTTCCAAAGGAGCCGCGGGCAGGGGTGCAGTCGGGCAGCCAGAGGGAGGACACCACTCTGAGTGCGCCGAGCGCCCGCTCCGGCTCGGGGACCGGCCGCGCTGGTGCAGGAGACACACTCCGGGGACGGCCCAGGGCCAGTGCGAACACTCGTCTCCCCTCAAAGGCACATCCAGGACCCTGCCAGCCAGCGGCTGACATGGAACAAGTCCCCAAAGAGCGTCCTCGTCATCAAGAAGATCCGGGACGCCAGCCTGCTCCAGCCCTTCAAGGAGCTCTGCGTGTACCTGATGGAGGTGAGCAGGGGTGGCCGCGGGGCTGGCGTCAGAGCCGGCTCCCGCCTGGGGCTCCAGGGCGTCAGGAGGCTCTGTAACCCCGCGTCACCGAGCCTCCGGCGGCAGCTCAGCAGCGTGTGAGGGGAAAAAACGGTCGCGCTTTGTCACCGAGACTGAGCTGCTGCCGCCCACCCCCCACCCAGCATCGTGCAAGGCCAAGCAAGGCGGAAGGAGGCTTCGCGAAGGCCGGCGCGCCGCGGCCTGGCTCTTGGCGGCAGGGCTCACTCGCCCACGTCCCTTGCAGGAGAGCAACATGGTCGTGTACGTGGAGAAGAAGGTTCTGGAGGACCCCGCCGTCGTGAGCGACGACCGCCTCGGGCCGGTGAAGGGGAAGTTCTGCACCTTCAGAGAAGGCGAGCTGTCCCGTGCGGCCCCGCCCACGTGGCCACGCCTGGCAGCGTCGGGGGCGGGGCTTGACGGCTCTCCTGTGTCCGCCTCGTTTTCTAGATTACGATGACATCTCCAACCAGATTGATCTCATCATTTGCCTGGGGGGAGACGGGACCCTGCTGTACGCCTCGTCACTCTTCCAGGTGAGGCCCCCAGATGCCGCCTGAGGATGGCGAGGGCAGGCCGCGACACAGCAAGTTTGCAAACGATACCAAGTGCTGCATCTGCTGTCCGGTGCTAGACACTGTGACAGGCCAGGCGTTTCCATGCACCTCGAGGTGCCGGTGCGCCAGAAGGGGGGGCCTGAGGGTGGGGCTGGGGGCGGGGCATCCCCCCGGCGGAGCCGGCAGGTGGGGCCGAGTTGGTGGACGAGCGTCGGGGGCAGGTGAGAGCAGCGGCTACAGGCCGAATGTCCGGGGGGTCGGGGGAGCCCCGTGGAGGCCGCAGACCGCCAGGGTCTGCCCGGGAGCCCACCCTCACGCTCCTCAAGGCAGGGCTCCTGGAGTGACCAGGCCGAGGTGTGTTAGGTCAGGTGTGACCTCCAGAGGGCGGCCTGGAAGTGGGCAGGGCGGCCTGCAGGGCAGGAGGGTAGGGCCCGGCGGGGCCTGGGGCCTCACATCCAACGGTGTGAACCCGCTGAGGCTGGAAGGCCGCAGCGTTCGTGGCCGGCAGAGGATGAGGGCGAGCGAGGGTCCTGGGGCTGTTCCGCCTCCTTAGAGCTGCCCATTCGTCCTCACCTCCCACCGTGGGAGCCCCTCCTCACCCGCCCGCTCCTCCCTCCTCAGCGGAAGCGGCTCTCGGGGGGCTGTGGTGCCGCCCTGTTAGGGTCCCCGAGTCCCACCCTAGGCCCTCTGCCCCCGGCTGCCCCCACTCCTCTCCAGCGGCTCTGTCGAGGTCTCCCCGCCGCTCCCTCCTGTCTGCCGTGGCCGGTGGGCTGGTCCGTCCCGCCGCCTCCGTTTCTCGTCAGCTGCC